GTTTTCCATGCGCTGGGCACCATTTTATACACTTCCCATGTATTCACTCTTGGAATCTTCCCAACAACCCTATGAGGTAGGTTATTATTATTTCCATTTTGCAAATGAGGAAACTGAGGCTCAGAGAAGTTAAGTGACATGACCAAAGTCTCACAGCTAACAGGCAGGAAAGCTGGGACTCAAACCCAGAAGCCCATTTCCAGAGTCTGCACTCTGAACCACTGTGCCTTATTTCTTGGTGCAGAGTAAGTTCATAATAACTATTAGCTACTGTTATTATTATTGCCTTTGACAGAAGCTGAATTTCACCCACCCATTTTCTTTACATGAATTTAAATTCCTTTAGGCAAGTCACTCACTGTCCCGTTTGTCCCTCCTGCTCTCTATCATTTTATACCAATTTACCTGACTGGCTTGGACCCTGAAGGCATTCATGTTTGCAATCCCTCCTCTGGGTGCCTCTTACTCATTCACTCATTCTTTTTACCAACACCCACTGTGCCAGATGCTGTGCTAGGCTCACAGAGACAAATAAGATGGCAACCTTGCCCTCACGGAGCCCACGGCCGTGTGGGGAAGCAGACGCGCACACACATGTCACTTCACTGCATTGTCATGTATGCTGCCATGGGGATATCAATGAGAGTTAGGGAAGCACCAAAGAGCACAGGGGGATTCAGCCAGGAAGGATTTCCCAGAGAAAGTGACATCCCTGCTGGGTTTGAAAAACTGGACAGGAAGCCAATGGGAAAAATGCTGCACAGGCAAATGAAAACAGCACCGACAAATGGATGGAGGTGGCCGAGTGTGTGCATGTCTAGGGACGAGCCAGTACTTTGCAGGAGAAGGAGGAGTGAATCTGACTGGCTGAAGGAAGTTGATCCAGGTCTTGAGGGCTTCTGGGCTTCCAGCAAGGACTGCACCCTTTGTTGTGGAGGCTGAAAGCAGTCCTAGAAGGATGTGAAGTGGGGACCGACACAGTATTGTTGGTAATGGTTCTGCCCCCACCCCACCCCCATTTTCTGAGAAACCTGCTGAGAAACTGGTACCCACCAGGCCAGCTCATGTTCTGCAGGCTGGCAAGCCTTTACTAGGCATTTGATGAGCTTGAGGATAACAAGGCTAGGGGCCAGTAATTCAGGCCTTCCTCACCCTCTGGGTGTCCCTGAACTAGTGTAGCCTCCAAAAATCATTTTTGATGGGAGATTCTGGGAAGCAGGATGTAGCCAAGGCCAACTGAACTCCTGAAACTATGGACGGAGCCAGAAAGTAGGAAAGGTAATGCCCTCACCAGTTTTCCCCTCTAGGTGGGAGTGGGTAGGATGCCTGGCCTCTCCCTTTGCAGACAGCCCCCTCAGATTGGCCTCCTTTCTCTGGACTCCATGGTCCCCTCTCATCTGAGCTGTGGCTCTGGCGACTGCCTTGGAGGACATCTCCCCAGCTGTCAGGCCTGGGAACGTCAGAGCAGCCTCAGAGACCTCAATTCCTCCCCTTTCCCTCCAGCCAGGCATCAAGGTATGGTAGCAGAACAGGTGGATCTGGGTTTCCATCCTGGCTTTGCCAGTCATTAACTCTAAGACCTTGGGCAAGTCACCTGGCCTCTGTGAACCTTGGTTTCCTGACCTGCAAACTAGGAATGGCACTACTGACATCCCAGAGTTATTGTACCAACTGAACAAGATGGAGTATGCCAAGTACTTGGCACAAACATGATTCTTACCAGTGCTAGACACTGGTGGCTGGAGTCCACCAGGTGGAGGGTGGCAGGGATGGAGTGAAGGTGGACAGTGAATGGACCACAATGGATTCAACACATGTTTCAGCAGAGGAGACAGCAGTTACAAAGGAATGGAGGGTGACAGGGCATGGCAGGATTAGAGAACATTACATTCCCCAAGAGTTTGTTGTGCCTGAAGCAAGGGATGGCTGAGAATGAGGAGCTTGGAGATGAGGCAGGAAAGATTAGCTGGGGTCAGGATGGGAAGGGCCTTGAGCTGAGCCAAAGGGCTTGGGCTCCATCTTCAGGCTCCTTGTCCTGTGATGTAGTGGTTAGGACTGTGGAATGCAAATTCCAGTTCTGCCGCTTGATTTGGTAGCCTTGGGTCAGTAACTTAAGCTCTGTCTTAGCTTACATTCACCCAAAAGCAGACTCTGAGGCTCGGGGGCTGGTAGTCCGCTTGGCAGGTGATTTCAAGAAGCAGAGGTGAGGGCATGGAGAAAGTGAGACGGAAGGGAGAAAGCATTAATGTGCGGTTACAGCCATGAGCAACTGGTGTCGGTTCCCCTGGGGCCCTCGGAGGGACAGTATGAAATGCACCTCAAGTCATCCTATCTTGGGATGGGGAGGCATCAAGTCTCTCGATGGATGAAGGTTGCCCTTGGGCTAGGTAACACCCTCCCCCTCCTTCCTGGCTCATGGATGCCAGGGAAAGCCCTCAGGCAAGGAAGCAGAAGAAGCAAGACCTTGAGTGGAGGGGCTCTCAGTGTGCTGGAAACCACCACGCTGGCAAGGCAGCTCGGAGCAGGGACTGGGGAAATGAGGCACGTACCAACGCCACCTGCTATTACCTCTCCAAGCCCGTTTTCTCATCTGAAAAATAGAAAGAATAAGACATACTTCCCAGGAGGACTAAAAGAAGTGAAGAATTTGAAAGTACCTAACGACATGTCTGACACATAGTAGATAATCGAGAAATGGTAGGTATATTGGACTCAGCTCAGATGCCACCTCCTCAGAGAAGCCTTCCCTGATTGTCCTATTGAGAGTAGCTCACTCCTTTCATTCTTCACCAAAGCATCCTGTCTATTTCCTCTGGAGCGTTTAACATAACATGAAGTCATCTTGGTTACATGTTAGTCTATCATCCGTCTCTCCTCACTAGAATGACAGCACTGTGTGGACAGGGAATTAATCTCTCTACTCACTGTTTGAGCTCCAGCAATGAGCACAGTGCCTGGGACACACTAGGTACTCAATAAATATTTTTTGAAGGGAAGTATTATTATGGTAACAATAAGAGAAGATCAGTCCTGTTCTTGACCTTTATTAAGCATATATTCTGTTTTTTAACAAGATGTTAAAAGAGGATTCATCCAGACTCCAGCTCTGGGTCCCAATGCTCAAAACAGTAGGTGCAGCCGTATTCAGATCAGGACCCAAGCCAATTCCTCCATCACTAGTCCATTGCCCACTAACTTGCAGGCTATGATACAAGAAAGAGCTAAGAGTATTCGAGCAGGTTTCAGCTAAGGGCAAGGGTATTTTGGGAGAGCTTGTCTGAAGGCAATGATTTGAAGAGAATAAAGCTATTGCATAATTTTGCTCTTTCTCAGAGTCAGAATTATGAAGAAGCTAATGAAGTTTAAACTTCAGAGTCCCTTCTGAGGCCCTGGGAGGGGACCTAGCAATGTGTTCACACTGTCAGATGTTTTGCAAATTTTGAAAAAGTGAGTTAAAATTCTTTTTCTTAAAGAAGGCCCCTCCAAATTGTCCCCCCAAATTATAAGCTTCGAGCCTCACAAAACCTGGATCCACCTCTGTCCTCTATCAAATCCAAGCCATTTAAGTGACCAGCGATCCACGGGTTAGCTCATTTAATCCTTGCATCAACTCTATAATGCAGATACCATTGTTGTCCCCATTTACGGATGAGGATACCAAGGCTTAGGGAACAGGCAGTGCCCAAGATCTCACAGTTAGTAAGTGGCAGATCTGGGGTTTAAAGTCCATAGCCTGTCTCCAGAACCCAGACTCTTAATCATAGTGCTTTCCAACGGTATGTATTTGTTTTCTTGTCCACTTTCCCCACCAACCATGAGGTCCCCAAGGACACGAAGACAAGGCATTTCCATACACCCAACACCCAGCACCCAGCCCAGAAGAGACATCAACACATACTGGTATGTAAGGAAGAGTAAAGCAGGCCCTGGTCTCCAGGATCTGGCCTGGCACTCACAGCTGGGCCTTCGTATTCCTGGCTGCACATAATTTCACAGAACATCAACATCAGACAAGGCCACTCTGTGACCATGATGGATCAAGATACAAACAGGACCACTTCGTAAGCATGTCTGAACACAGACATTGTCTAAAACACAAAAAGGCCCAACCATCCCCCTATCTTGTCTAATACTGACTACTGCTTCTTACTAATGACAGCTTTACCTTTTGTCTGTTCTTCCCTCCTTCTGGATAAAATTTATTAAGATCCCCAGTCATAGAATTACCCCGACTTCTTACAGCATCTGATCCAGAACAAAGCCCTGCTTCCTTAAGCCCTCTGTGAAATCATCTAACAAAAGCCCAAATTCTACAAGTCCTTTCTGACATCCTCTTTCTGAGATGCCTCCAAGGTTCCCCATCATGTGCATTTTCCCTCCCTACAACGAGTATCCAACTTCTTCAGTTACAGGTGTGTTTCTGGTGGTCTTCGACTGGAATGGCTTTGACACGGGTGTCATCCATTGATGGATCACTGAGCATAAAATATCATTGTCAAAAGTTAGAAAATTTTGTTCCCCCCAAACGAGTTGATGATCATAGAAAGAAAAATAGTGGTTCTCTCTAGGGCATGGGGATGAGTGGTTATAAACAGAGAAGGGACACGAGGCAAACTTTGGGGGTATTGGAAAGGTCCTACCTTTTGAACTAGGTGATCGTTACACCAAATGCTAAAAAAAAAAAGTTAATAGGTACACTTAATATTAGTGCACTTTACACACTTTTTGGTATACATCTTACACTTTGATTAAAAATGCTTTGTCCACCGACTTCATCAGGTAGTGGGGAGAACAGGAAATCCAAAACTGGTCACTCAAATACCAATCAAAGGTAACTTAGCAACAAGGCAAAGGCCAGAGTGGGATGGTAGCGGACTGGAAAGGAACCGTGGGCTGTTGGAGGATGGGATCTATGATGAAAAGGCTGGAAAATCAACCCCTTTCTGAAAACTTAAAGCATTTGTGTTGTTTATCCCAGAAAAGACTAGATTGGGAGGAAATGCAATTGAATGCAAGTATTTTATTTCGCAACAGGGAAAAGTTTGGGCCAAGGCAGGTCTTCCTAACGGTGACAAAGGAGGTAAAAGAGCCTGTGACATCCCTGTCCCTGGGAAGTTTAAAACGCCATTGGCCAGCAAATGTCCCCAGTGTGGCCTGGTCTAGGAGTAGGAGACAGAGAAACCACCCCCAGTTGCCCCTTTCGTGACTAGGGACTCTGGTTAGTCATGAGTGTTCTGGGCCAGCTGCACAGCACTGATTAATTAGCCAAAGAGAGTCACTCTCTGATCTGCCATAAGATTTTTATGTTCTGCCACCACTGCCACCAACTACAGCTTTAATTAAATCTGGGGCTTAATTACCACAGTGCAGCGCTGCCATCACTCTCCAGATGACTTTATCTCGGCTCCTGGATGGATGGTGGTGGCGTCAGTGTGTCAGGAGGAGAGTTGAGCCTAAAGTAGTCTGAAGCCCAGACTCTGGATGCTGGTGATTTGAGGGTATGTGGGGTGGTTGCGTGGAGGGATCAGCTGTAGGGCTCAGTGCCTGCCCTCAAAGAGCTCACAGTTTATTGGAGAGCTAAGACCTCCCACCTAGGAGATGGGACAAGGTGGTGTAAGCCCCCAAATGAGAAGTGCACACAAATATCCCAGCAACTGAGTGTGCTGAGGCCCCTTGGCACTGGAAGGATCAGGGAAGCTGCATGGAGAGGGAGGGCCTAGAGGAATCTTAAAGGAAGAACAGGATTAGACAGGCCACCAGGCAGGGCAGAGTACTAAGTGGAGGGAAGCCCATGAGTAAAAGTGTGGTGGTAACAGTGAGAACCTGTTACATCGGGAGATGGGTGAGGAGGTAAATGTAGCTGGGGGCAGGGCAGAAGAGAGGCGATCCCTACTGCAGCACAGCATGAGCAACGCTTCTGAGAAAGTAGGTGAGGGGCCAGGTTGGTGAGGACCTTGAAGGCCAAGCTAAGTTGGGACCTCATTCAGTAGGTAGCAGGAAGCCGCTGAAAGTTTTGAAGCTGCCTGAATGATCCAAATTTGTTATGGAAGTTTACAAGAGTTTGAGGATGCGGCCCTGCCTCCCTCCTCAGGTGTCTCTCTATTCCATCCCTTGCACACTGTGCTCCAGCCAGAGTGCAAGACATTCTCCACGCTCCCTGTACTCCTGGCTAAGCCCTAGTCCTTCAGTTCTCAGTTTTAACACCTCTCTGCGATGCTTTGCTGACACCATCCCATTTCCCCCATTAAAACATATATCGCTGGGTTGTAATTATTCATTTGGAGGATTCATAGCGGAATCCTCCGCTAGATTGTGAATTCTTTTGAGGCTAGGGACAGTATATTGTTACCAGTGTGTCCTCAAGAACCAGCATAGGGCCAGTAAAGCGAGGATGCGTGGAGAGGCTGGTCCGGGTTTAGGCAGGATCAGTGATCTCTCAGGCTCCTCCCTGTTCTCAGCCAGTGAGTCTCTGGAGGACAATGGAAAATCACGTGTCAACAGGTACAGGTTGGTAGGCAATGTGCCCTTATTTTGAATTATCAGTCTCATATTCTCACAGCAAGCAAAGTAATGGTAGCGGAGGGAACACAAATCAAGCTCCAACCGCCTCCCCACCTTTCTAAGAATAAAGCCAGGCTGTGGCTATTTCTAGGCACGCCTGGGAGTTATTTGAGGGATGGTGAGGCGGAAGGTTACCAACCGGGACTACAAGAAGTAACCCTCCGCGGGAGCCTTGTAATCGTGGGAGCGGCTCCTCGACCACCAGAGGGAGGACTGGCACCGCAGCCTGGGACTTGGGCGGTTTCCCCCAACGACGAGAGGCTGCATAGAACTCTGGGAACTGTAGTCCTAGGGTCGTAATGCAGAATCTTACGCGGTGCACGTCGGGAGTTATAGTTCCGGACAGAGAGGCGGGAAATACTTTCAAGCGCCAGTCCTGGGTTCTGGAAACTACAACTACCGAACGGCCACGGACTCCGGGACAATTTCTCGTTTCCGTCCAGTTGTCCGTCTGGGCTACTTCTGAGAGGTCAACTTGACTGGGTAAGTTTGGTTGGAGAACGTTCCGCTTCTGAACTGAGGTGTCTGCAGACTTTCTCATATTCCAGCCCGGTTTGGGGGCTCCTCGTTTCAGTCCCAGGAACTCCACATTAATCTTTCATTTTTTCTGTTTCCTATTCAGACACCTCCAATATCCACCCGCACCCTGAACCCTCCCACTATCATCTCGTGCCCTCGTTCCCGGCGCCCCTGGAATCCCACGCTGAGCACTCGTTTCAGGACCCGGCCCCCACAGCACCACCCTGAGCCCACAGAATCACCTCTCTGATACCTGGGCGTCGTTATGCTCCACACCTTCTATACGCTTCACTCTTACCTTCACTTTCCTGTTTTTCATGCTAGTAAAGAAGAATCGCCATTTCTTCTTCTCAATCTGGGGAGGAGCCCAGGACTCGAAATCAGCAGACCTGGGCTTCAGTCCAGCTCTGCAGCTCTCTGGCTGTGTGACCTTGGACGAATCATACAACCTCTCTGGGACTCGCTCTCTTCATCTACAAAATGGAGATGACAGTTACTCTGTCAGTCTTAGGGTGAGGATGTGTTGTGGAGCCCATAAGCTAATATGTGTGACAGTGCTTTATAAACTGTAAAGCCTCCATGAGCGAGAGAGATTACTGTTATTATAATTATTAATGCTCTGGCACTCTCTTACTTTGCCTCCTTTTCTAGCTCTGTGTCTTGTTGCTCAGGCCTGCCCCTTGGGCGCTTGGTGTTTCCATTCTCTCAGAGTAGGATATTTCCTCATGTTCTCCAGAGACCAAAGGTCAGACTAATGAGCTTCAAGTCTCCGGAGAGCTTTGTCTGAAAGGAAGCCCCAGAGAAGTGCTTATCTTGGACTCTGTCCTGAAATAGCCAGTGATGAAAAGTCCACACAGCTGGCAGAGGGGCGGTCCCTGCTGCCTGGAAACAGGGCCCCAGCAGGAGATGGACAGCTGCAGTGTAAGCCTTATCCGTTCCCTCTCGGCTCTTTTGGGCCTGTTGAGTAGACTCCGGTTTTGGTAGGGGTGTCTCAGACCCGAAAAGGCTGGGAGGAAAGAACCATTTTGCCAAAGTGTTTATCCAGAAAAAATGAGAGAGACCTTGGCTGGGTATGATGAAAGAGGGACATAGCATTGTGAATTAATTCCAAACATTTTATGAGCACTTAGAATGTATCAGGCCCTAGGCAATATCAATTTTCTTATTTAAGTTTCACTTACGAAGCGTCCCCATTTTACATAGAAGGAACTTAGGCTCACAGAGGTGCTGTACTTAGTTATGCAGTAGTCTCCCCTTATCTGCGTTTTCACTTTCCCCGGTTTCGGCTACCCACAGTCATCTGCAGTCCAAAAGTATTAAATGGAAAATTCCAGAAATAAACAGTTCATAAGTTTTAAATTGCACGCTGTTCTGAGTAGTGTGATGAAGTATCTCACCGTCCTGCTCTGTCCAACCCGGAACGCGAATCATCCCTTTGTCCAGCGGATCCACACTCTGTGCGGCGCCCTTTAGTCACTTAGCCATCTGGGTTACCAGACTCACTGTTGGGATGTGGCAGTGCTGGTGTTCAAGTAACGCTTACTTTATTTAATAATGGTCCCAGAGTGCAAGAGTAGTGATGCTGGCAATTCGGACATGCCAAAGAGAAGCCATAAAGTGCTTCCTTTAAGTGAAAAGGTGAAAGTTCTTGACTTAAGGAAAGAAGAAGATTGTATGGTAAGGTTGCTGAGATCTACAGTAACTTTGATTACAGTATATTCTTATCACTGTTCTATTTCTTTTTCTTCTTTTCCCCAAAGCCCCCCGCCCAGTGCATAGTTGTGTGGTCTAGTTGTAGGTCCTTCTAGTTGTGGCATGTGGGATGCCACCTCAGCATGGTGTGATGAACCATTCTAGGTCCCCGCCCAGGATCCGAACCGGCGAAACCCGGGACCGCCCAAGTGGAGCACGTGAACTTAACCACTTGGCCACAGGGCCGGCCCCATATTAACTGTTCTGTTTTATTATTATTTATTGTTGTTAATCTCTTGCTGTGTCTAACTGATAAATTAAACTTTACCATAGGTATGTATGTATAGGAAAAAACAGTATTTATAAATAGAGTTCGGTACTATATGGTTTCAGGCATCCACTGGGGGTCTTGGAACATATCCCCTGTGGATAAGGGGAGACTGCTGTAATAAAAATTAGAACTACCATCCATGGTTATAGTGCCTTTTATATATCAGGTGCTTTACATACATTATTTCATTTAATCCTCATCAACAATTTCATGAGTGATTATTATTATTTCTCTCATGTGGATGAATTATGAGAGGCACAGAATTTAAGGAACTTGTTCAAGATCCCTCAGCCAATTAAGTGTCAGAGGTGGAATTCAGACTGTGACCATAGTCTTTCTTTTCCCACTATATCATAGAGTCTTATTTTTAGATCAAAAAGACAGAGATTGAACAATTGAGAGAGTTTGAGTCAAAGCCAAATAAAGGAGCATTTATTGGTCCCTTCTGTGTAGGGAAGGCATGAGGATAGATGGTTTGGCCTACAAAGAAATATAAAACAGTCATTACCTCTGTAGTATATCTGAAGAGATAAGGCATAAGTGTGTAAAAAATTAAACAGCATTCACTGAATGAGTTGGTTATTGAGACCAGTTCTATGCAGGGCACTACATTAAGCCTAGTGACTGGCGGGAACCTGCTTCAGGTGGCCACGGGGATTAAACCAATGAAATCATAGTCATTATTTCCTTAACGTGAGAGTGGTGGACTGGAACACCGTGTACACTCAGTAAATATTTCTTGCTTGCACATATATACGTACCAATCCAAGAGCTGTCCTAAGGCAGCCTATGATTGGTTACCAGGTGAGGGATGCAGGCAGTGCTTAGAGTTGAGAGGAGTGAAGGTTGGATGGACTTGGCAAAGCCTCACAGAGGACCGGAGCTTTGCCTGGGCCTCGATGAATGGGGCGGGTTTGGATGGGTGGAGAGGCTTTTGGATAGGTACCACCAGGAGCTGTTAAGATAAGATGAAAAAAAGAAGGTAGAGACACCTGGGCTTATTGCCTTGGAAAATTCCATGGCGTTTATTAGAAATGACTCTGGATGCTTTGTGTGGATGTTTCTTAGGCAAAATTTGCATGCCAGATTGGCTTTTCCCATCTCCCCTTTCTACTTGGGCATCAGTCGATGCAAGCCCAGGGAATCCAGATTCATTTTCATGTTAGCCTCACTCTGGCCAATTCTCTTCTTTAGTTTTTATTTATTTCCAAACTTAATTTAGTTGGTCACCTTCCCAGAAACTTTGCAGGACTACCAGAGAGTTCTACTCCCCTTCTGTTTGGCTGTTTTCAGGTCCACTCATCCTAATGCTTATCCCAAGCACTGTTCTCTCTGCGACGTAAGACCAAACTCTCTTCCCATAAGCAGCTGCTATCGTTCTGGTCACCCGGTTCTGAAACCTGACTCATCTTTGCCTCTTCCCTCTCCCTGGACTCTCCAAATCCACTCCGTTGCCAAATGTTATTGTTTCTACTTTTCACTCAATCAACAAATATTCCCTGGATACTACACTAGGTGCTTTAAGTGGGTGATTTCATTTTATCTCCATAGCAACCCTGTGAGGATGGATAGGATTCTCATCGTACAGATGGGGAATTAGGCTTAGAGAGATCAGATAACGTGCCCAAGGTGAGAAAGCCCGGCAGCAAAGGAGCTGGGGCTCAAACTTGGGTCTTTCGGGCTTCATATCTCTCATATCTTTGACCTCATTTCCAGAGTTGATTCCAACTCCTTAGCTGAGCACTTGAGGAAGAGCTTCCCTCCAAATCTGGTCATGACTTCCTTCTCCCACCTTTGTCCGTTGCTGACTACTTGCTGTTTGTCACATGTGCCTTCTTACCTCTGTGCCTTTGCTCATGCACTTTCTTCTGCTTGAAAGTCAACTTTCCCCAGCTTCCCCTGCCTCCACTCTCAAGCTAACGGAACTCTCTTTCTTCTCAGTGCCCCTGTGGTATTTTATCTGACCCTCTTTGATGGCAGTTAGAACTTGCTGCTGCTTCACTGTCATGTGGGTGACATGTGCCTTGTGCCCCCCCCCGTAGGTCTTCCGCGTGTATGCCCTCAACAGCAAGGGGAAAAGGTCAGGGTCTGGGGCCAAGCAACACACGTTCAACTTCACTCTGGCTAAACTGTCTTCTGACTGTATCAGGAACTTAGCTTCTTTTTTAAAAGAACTGGTTTATTTTAAAATTTGCTTCGGAGAAACAAAATGAAGAAGTCTGTAGTAGAAAGAAAATCATTTATTATCTTCCACAGTTAAAGAGAATGATGTTAGGATTATTGGTTGTTTGGGGTTTTCCATTGGAAGTTGGCAATTGGGAAATCTATGTGTAATAATAGTTCTGCTGGTGACCTTGAGCAGCTCACGTAACCTCTTAGGACCTTGATTTCTTCCTCTGTAAAGCACATGTGTGTGCTGGGTAGAGGGTCAGCCTGGGGAGATGATTCTGGGGAGGATTAACAGAAATGATCTCTAAGGTCTTTTCTTGCCCAGACATGCTTTAACGTGAATTCTCTGATCCATCCCAGAGCGTCTTAAAGAAAGCAGAAAATGTAATGATTAAAAATATAGGCCCAGGACTCTGTGTGTCAGCTTAGATGCTTTGAGTTCCAGCAATAGACATCTAAACTCGGTTGATTTAAACAAAAAAGGGGATTTATTGACTCATGTAACTAGAAAGTCTAGGAGTTTCTAGATTTCAGGTTTCAGATGTAGTCTAATCCAGAGATTCTTAATGACTTCACAAATATGACTCAAAATTTCTCTGTAATTCTTTCAGCTCTGCCATCCTCCGTGGCTGCAACAGTTCAAGTGGCTGCAGCAGTTCAAGGCTTCATATCTGCACATCACTCTAGTTCAAAACCAGAAAGAACGTTTCCATGCTCAACCATCAAACCAGAGTCCTGGACTTTACTCTGATTGGACCAACTTATGTCAATGTGCCAACTCTTCATCCACATACTGACCAGGAGATACCGAGGGCTGACTGGCTCAGGTCAATTAAGGTCCATCTCTAGAGGTTAGGGAGTGGTCAGCCCCATCCAAACCACAAGGCACTGTGTGGGAGGGCAGGATAGAATGGGTATGGAGAAGTTTGACCACATTCTCCACTGTTACAGCCACATTGCCCGTGATCAGATTCTGCCTCTGCTAGCTGTATGTTTTTGGGTAAATTACCTAACTTTGTCAAGCGTCAGTTTCCTCATCTATTAGATGAGATAGCAATACATATCGCAGAGGATTGATGTAAGGCTTCAGTTAAATAATATATGTAAAGCGCTTAGTATAGTTGCTGGCAGGAGTACGTGTGATGATGATGGTGCTGGTGGTGATGAGATTGAAGAGAGAGCGCAATGTTATTAGCCCCAATTTAGGAAGCTGCCAAGTTACGGGAAGGTTATCGAGTCAGGCGTGTGCACACCTGCCGTGTTGAAGGCTCCTGTTTGATCTGCTGCCACCATCATACTCTTCCCTATCTCTGCCCTTTTTTGCTCTTATATTTTGTCCTTTCTAGAAATGCTTTCCTTTTTCTCCCCTGCCTCTTAGTCTTCCTATTTCAAGGCCCAGCACAAGTGCCACCTTCATAGTCCATAGGTCAGGTCAGTGATTTTGTATGTACATAACTGAGTCTCCCCATGAACAGGATCAGTAAGGGTTAGGAGCTCAGCTCTGCAGTAGACAGACCTGGCTTTGCCTCCTGTAGGCAGTGTGACTTAGGGAAGTTACCTAGCCTCTCTGTGCCTTAGCTTCCTCTCCTGTAAAACAAGGTCTTAAAAGTACCTTCCTCAGAGAGTTGTTGAGAGAATGAAATGATGTAACGTATGTAACAAGCTTAATTCAGTGCTGACTCTGAGTAAATAAGAGATCTTAGTAGTTACTGTCATTCGCAGCCTCCTGAGGACAAGGTCTGTGCTGTATTCTCTGCAGCAGTTACAGCCGTGCTGGCCACTAGTAGGTGCTGAGAAAACACTTGGTAATGGGTTTTGAGGAGCTTTTGGAAGCTCTCTCTGCTCTTCACAACCATCTCCTCACCACCACCCCCAACAACAAAAATAGCAGCCCCTAGGACCTTGGCAAAGTCACCATAGCAAAGAAAATCACGTGGAAGATTGAGTCACGGGCAGTGAAGTTGGGGTGATAAGGAGGGTGGACGGGTAGCAGATAACATGTATAAGCAACAGGAAACCAGCAAGTGGCTATTCTGTGTTCCACCCTCCAGGCATCAAGTTCAGCACTGCCCAAGTCGTTGCTCCTTTTAACTGGTAATGAGATGGGGGTCGGCCAGTCCATGGGCTTTCCATCTGTCGCAGGACCCCACCTCGTAGGCTGCGGGGATGTAATGGAGGGTCAGGGTCTCCAGGTAAGTGTCTCCAGCTCCATCTCTGCATTTCTCTGCTGCTTCTGCTTGCACGGTGACTTATCGATAGCCACCTGATGGCGCAATTCTGGGTGGGGGGAAACTGAGTTAGAGCTGGTCTAGATTTGGTTATACAGCCCCCGGGTCTGTCCTCGCTGACCTTTTTCTTCCTCTTTCAAATTAGAAACATCTCAATAGAAATGAAGTGTTCTTTTTCAGCCAGGAGGAAAGCGGGGTTCTAGCTTCAAAGGAAGCTCTCAGATCCTCTCACCTGTCTTGAGAGCAGATGCTTGTACTGGAAAGGTTTTTGATCTCATCCTAACCTGAGTGTATGAGAGGAAGAGCAGTGGACCGTGTGTCATTGGCCTTTGACTCCCTGACCTGGATAGGAAAGCAGTCTCCTTTTTCTCCTTTCCTGCCTTCGCCTGTTTTCCCCTCCTGCTTTGGTTCTGGACTTTCCCTCTGGACTTTCATAGGTCCTTCTCTGCTAGCCCTTCGACTCCCCCCTCCTGTGTGAGAGGCGCATGCTTCCTGGTAACCTCACACCTACTCCCATGTGAAATGAATGTCCTGCTGTTCCCAAGGGCCAGCCTGGAGGTCTAGCCTGGGTGACCCACCAGTGCCACCCCATTCAGCATGAGAGGCTCCTCCAGGGCTGGGCTCAGGGCCAGATTTAAATCTTTCAATGTACTAAGCACTGAAAATATTTTACTGTCCCCCAGCTGTAATTCAAATTACAGTCAGCTATTTGAAATAGCATAAGCCTTCCATGTAGGCTAAAAATAAAATTGCTTCTTTCTGGATTTTCTGAATGCAAAATTCAGGTATATGCACGGAAGCTTGTTTCCCGTTTTGGTGCCCTGCTTTGCTGGTGCCCCAAACACCTGCTGAGTATGTCTGCTGGGAAATCTAGCCGTGCTTGGGCTCCTTGCTCTGAGCAGCTGCTTTCTTCTTTCCTACAGGGGAGCTTCTTCCGACTCTTCTACCCCTGCCAAGAGGCAGAGGTGCCCACGGAGCAGCCCCTGTGGATTCCCCGCTATGAATACTGCACTGGCCTGGCCGATTACCTGCAGTTCAATAAGCGCTGGGGAGGATTGCTGTTCAACCTGGCTGTGGGTAAGGGCTGGCCTCACCCCCAGGTGCTTTCCCAGCTTCTTGGTTATGTTCCTAGGAGGTCCCCAGGTAGACACAGTACCTTATAGCTTTCATTGTCCAGCTCTTCTGCGTGAGGCATCCATCAGCCAGTGTGGTGTGGGGAGTTGGGAGAGAATGACATACATAAGAGCTTTGGTTACAGAGTTAGACTGTCCTGGATTCAAATCTAGACTTTATCATTTACTAACTGTGGGGCTTGGGCAAGTTAACTTGTCTGAGTATCTGCCTTTGCAGGATTGTCATGTGGGATGTATTAAAGTCTCTAGTGCAGTGCTTGGGACATGGAATGTGTTTCAGAAATGGTGGCTAGTACGCATTTGTTCAGCATGTGTTAATTCTACTCTGTGCCAGCTATAGTGTAGATTAAAGAAAACTACCAAGGAGCATACTGTCTCCTGCAATCAGTTCCCCCTCCAGCTCTCCCTTCTTCTGGGTAGGATCACACTGAATCATCCCCTTCCCCCAAAGGAATTCTTCCCATTGCCTTGGCGTTTCAGGGATTCACCCCACAGTTCTTCAGTACTTCCCCTCTGGATTTATCTTCCTATTGTGTTCATGCTCCCTAGGGAAGAAAGGGGGAAAGAATAGGTGATTGATTGCCTTGGGCTGCTCGGGGGAAAAGGGGTTCTCTGAGAGAAGAGACCCAGTGGGATTATAGCTCTGGGGCAGCCAGAGATTCTATAGCCCATGTCTCTGCTAGGATCTTGTCGCCTGCCTGTTAGCTGGAATGGCCCCTTAAAGACCAAGGACTCTGGATACCCCTTGATCATCTTCTCCCATGGCCTGGGAGCCTTCAGGTAAGAGCTTCTCTCCCCCAGACCTTGTCATATTCCTTGTCTGGTGATGGCTACTGGGTCTCAACTTATTCTCGAAGGATAGAGAGACAGACCTTTCCATCTGCCAGCTGTCTTATCTACCACTTGCTTCATTCCAGAGCTCTGGGTCCGTCTTCTCTCGAAGGCCTCTCCCAAGCCCCTTCACCTGGTGGAGCCTTTCAGCAGGCTTCACACCCTTTGCTCACATGTTCCAGCATTTATGTAAATATACATTTGTAGCCCAGAAGTACAAGAAGGAGCTTGAGCTTTATAGTCAGAGAGTCATTAATCCAGCGTATATTGAGGGACAGTCTGCTGTGGTGCTGGCGCAGCAGTGAATGAGTTAGACTACCTGCCCCTTGCGCTCGGGGAGCTCGCCGCCTCCCCTGTGCACCGCGGCCACTCCGCCTGTGCTCGGGGTGGGCTGGGACAGTGGTAGAACTCGCTGAGCCTAGCTTTCATCGTCTGTCGAATGGGGATGCCGCTCCTACATGGTGGTTGTGAGGATTCATTTAGTCTGGCACCTAGTAGGTGTACAAGCATGCCAGGTCTCCCGTCCATTTCTCTACACAGAGGAATGTGGGGTGGTGAGCTGTAAGATTCTTCTACTAGACTTCAGGAAATGCTGGCCTGTGTTATAAGTCATATCCATTCAGGATCCTTCCCATGAATTCTGATTTCTACACCTTGGTGTGTGAGATAGCTTAATAACCGTGGTACGTATGTTCCTATCTAAGCTTGTGAATGTTTTCTCTATATGTTCATTCATCAACGTGTAAGTCTAGTTTATGTCCCAGAGTGTGACATATCTGAATGCATCTGTTTTTGCCTCCCCACCCCCCAAATCATGGTCCACACTGTAGCCAGGGAGATCTATTTTAAACCCAAATGTCATCTTGTCGTTCCAGCACCTAGAACCGTGCTCGGCATGTAGTAGGTGTGCAGTAAATGTTTCTTGAATGAATGTCACTTCCCAACTTAAATCTTTTTTTTTTTTAAGATTTTATTTTTCCTTTTTCTCCCAAAGCCCCCCAGTACATAGTTGTGTATTTTCAGTTGTGGGTCCTTCTAGCTGCAACATATGGGTTGCCACCCCAGCATAGTCTGACAAGCAGTGCCGTGTCCACAGCCAAGACCCAAACCGGCAAAACCCCCAGCTGCAGAAGCAGAGCGCACAGACCCAACCACTTGGCCACGGGGCCAGCCCCTTAAATCTTTTTAATAGCCCTTTGAACTTAATTCAGCTCTTGTCATGGTCTTACCTGGATGCAGGTCCAAGATAAAGTTCCCAGCCTCGTGTCTTGCTACTTGCCCCACTCAAGCTCTCCAGACAAACTGACCTTCTTTCACTTCCAGAAAGGCACTGTCGTTTTCTGCCTCAGGGTTGTCATCTCTGCTGTGCTTTGTGGCTGTTCCCTTTGCCCAGAATATTTGTTGTTCTGCTCTTCTCTTCCTCTTTTCCCTCTCTGTCTTTTGTCTGGCTAATTCCAGATTCCCTTCAGGGTCTTAGTTTGGATGTCACTTCCTTAGGACACCCATCCTGACCTGTGTGTTATGTCAGGTTTTCCATGAATGTGCTTTCATAAGACACTGTGTACTTCTCAGTACTTAACATCATTGTAACGAATTATTTGTGTGATTATTCTTTAATATCTGTCTTTCTGACTAAAGTCTAAGCTCCCTGAAGGCAGAGACCGTGTTTGTCTTCTGTCTCTCCCAGTGCCTAGGACAGTACCTGGAAAGTGGTAGTTTCCCAATAAATGTTTATTGAGTGAATACAGGGGCTTTGTTTTGCTCGGTTCTCACTCATTCAGCAAATGTCTGTTGAGCACCTGCTCTGTGCCAGCCCCTTAGCATGAGAAGAAAGTGGGACGTACAGAGATAAACAAATCAAGGAATTTGCATCCACTAGAGGAGCCGGAATATGGACTCATATAACTATAGCCCATGGCAGGAAGTGGAGGGTAAATGTGGTCATGGGGCTAGAGAGCCAAGCAGGTGGTTTTCAGTGTTGCTTTCTTATTCAGTATATTTAGTATCTGCTATGTGCCAGGGCCTGTGTTGGGTATAGGATAGAGTCCCTGCCTTCAGGAAGATTGTAGTCTACTGGGGAAAAGAAGCTAAGAAACATCCTAAGCTCACATATTTTATATAAAGCACAGGTGAGCACATGACTTTGGAGACTGGTCTTTTTTGGTCTAAGAATCCGTGTTGAGACTTCACGGCTCAATAGACCTGGGTGAGCCAGTTATAAATACTCTTCATTAACCGGAGTGAAATTCCAGGAACAAGGGTCGGGGGGAGAGGGACATGGTTTCCTCTCGTTGCATCTGTGGTTGATTTGGGATCTGAAATCCTTCCCATGGGTCACAGACCCATGGCTTCCCGTCTTAGGGAGGGGTATGTGCATTAAATACTGCCTAACCATTTGCCGTGTGCCGTGGTCTCCTTGGGTTCCCACCTAGTCCTGTGAGGTAGGTGGCAGGGGCTGGGGGTGACTGCAAACAGGCTCTGAAATGCAGGCTTGGCCAAGGTTGCACAGTGATAGGGATCAGAAATCTTTCTGGTTCTTTAAGTTCAGTTCACAGCCTCCCCCAGAGAAGTGAGAGAAGGTGAAAAGAAGCTTAAGAAACTGGTCTTCCTGAATCAGTTATGATCCACGTAAGTTGTACTTAACAGAAAACCCCCAAACGATAGTGACCTAAGTAATAAAAATTTGTTTCTTGCTCAGATAAAAGAAAGCTGGAGGTAGACAGAGCTGATATGGTAGTTCCACAAAGTTATCAGAGAACTAGACTTCTTTTCTAATCTTGCTCTGCCACGTGTGGCTTCCATTTCTAAGGATATCTAATGACCCAAGGTGGTTACTTTAGCTCCAGCCATTACATCCACATTCCAGGCAAGAGGAAGTGAGAACTCTCCTGAAAGTTCTGTGTAACACAACTGCTTACGTCCCGTTGACTAGAGCTGGTCTGTCCATTGTAATAGCTTCTAGCCACTTGTGGCTTGTGAACATCTGAAATATGACTGGTCCAAACTGAGATGTGCTATAAGTATAAAATACACACTAGTTTTCAAAGACTTCATGTAAAAAAAAAGAAAGCATTTCATTAATTTTTAAGTTTTGATTATATGTTGAAATGGTAATGTTTTGGCTATATTGGGTTAAATAAAATATATTGTTAAAATTTATTCTACCTGTTCCATTTGACTTTTTAAGATATGTCTACTAGAAAATTTTAAATTACTTATGAGGGCAGCATTACATTTCTGTTTCTGGGCTAGAACTTAATCACACAGGCAAACCTGGCTGCATGGGAGGCTGGGAAATGTCATATTTTGTTGGCATGACAGTGTCTTCAGCTGAAAATCAGATTCTGTTATTAAGGAGGAAGGGAAAAATGCATATTTGGAATAGACAATTAGCAGTGTCTGCCATATTCCTTTTTTTTCTGGAAAGTTGAGGACACACCAAAAAATCCACATGCTAAATCACAGATACATATTTGCATATTTAAAGAAATAGCCAGAATCCCTGTCCTCAAGGAGCTTACCAACTGACTTGGGAGATATGCAATATATAGACGATAAAAATGCAATTGAAGTAGCCCAACTATGGAGGTAGGGGGTGGAGGAGATGAGCGGGTGTTTGCATGGGGTGGGAAGATACCCTGGTTCGATTTGCACGTGCTTCCCGGAGGAGGATGCTTGGAGCCTTGGTGAGAGAAGGTATCCTGGCTGGAGGAGCGGCGTGGGAAGGGCTGCTGCAAATGAAACTTCCTCCATTCCATCTTCTGAGACGGCCGTTAGCAGTGCATGGTTGGAATGAGGGCTAAGGGTGAACCATTCTTTTGATTACTTCTCTCTGTTCCCTCCTGAATCTCTAGGACGCTGTATTCAGCCTTCTGCATGGAGCTGGCCTCCCGTGGCTTTGTGGTTGCTGTACTAGAGCACAGGTGAGGGGTGACAGTCATAATGAACTGTCATGGGTTGGGTGCCTGCAGCGGGCTAGGGTGTAGGCTAGTCCCCTATCTATGTATTGTTTCCAGTCCTCACAACCATCATGCAAGGCGGGTCTTATACCCATTTTAAAGGTGAGGAAACCAAGATTTCAAGATGTGAAATAAATTGCTGAATGTTACACAGCTGAGTTGGGATTCAAACCCAGGTCAGTCTCCGAAGACCCTGTTTTTTCTGCTCTCCTATGCGTGCCCTCACATCTTTTTCCCTACTAGCCAAAAGATGATCCAAAGTGTCTTGGATGAAAAGGAGGATTTGGTAAAGGGGAGAAAGGAGCTCAAGAGTGTCTTCTGGTTTCTCTCTGGTGGCACGTGTATTTCAGGGATGGGTCAGCTGCGACCACCTGTTTCTGCAAGCAGATCCCAGAGGAGAACCAGCCCACTGATGAGGTGCTGGAGAAGGAATGGATCCCCTACCGTCAAATTGAGGAAGGGGAGAAGGAATTCCATGTTCGGAATTGCCAGGTAGGCCTGTGCCGGTTGGGGAGGAAGAGTTCATAAACCTGCCCTCCCTCTATGCACTCAATAAGAAGAGTTTTAACTAACCTGCTGTCTTGAAATCTCCCTCACAGTGGGTCTGAGCTTGCCACATCGGAGAAATGGGGTATTAATCAAAACTCTTACAATTGCAAGTGACAGAAACCAACTTAAACTTGTTAGGCAAAAAGGAAAATTGATGACGCTTATCTAAGCAGACTCTAGGGAGGGTGGGACCCCTGGAACCAGACTCAGGTGGCATCAGGACTTGTTTTTCATTCCCATCTCTGTCTCTTCTGCTGGGTGGTCTCATCTGCGAACCAACTTACCTTATGAGGTTAGGACCCCAGCTCTTGACTGTCTGAGCTTGCATAAGTTTGACCTCACTGTCTGAGAGAACAGGGCTGTTTTGGGGTTGTTCCCCTGACACCTGCCCCAAGCTGCAACATGAAGAATCCCAGAGAGAGATTCCTAGGCTGGGGAGAAGTACCCAAATGGGAAGTTCCCATCAGAAATAGATTGTTAGATTTTTAGGGGGTGAGAAGTAATCCTCGAAAGTCAGGGTTAACAGGAGAAGTGGGGGCGGGTAAGTGATGGCAGATAAAAATAATAGATGTGTGCTATAAATGGGCAAGTAGAATCCAGGACTGGGTTGATAATACGAACACTCTTATTTCTAATTGTTTTCAAAACGCTTCCTATACAGTGTCTTGTTTGGTCCTCCTGACAACCCCATGGGTAGGTAGGTACAGTCCGAACGGTGGGCCTGACTCCATTGTACTGTTAGGTGATGCCTGTGTGAGCCATGGCAAGGGTGCTGAGCCTTTCTCAGAACATGGGGTCGACAGTGCCTGCTGAGATGGGGTGGGCACACTATCCCTGTGTTCTTCCCTGGCTCTGTAGGGGGATGGGATTCTTACTGCAGTGTTCCGGCTCCTACTGGGACGGTCTCTGTTGCAGGTGCATCAGAGGGTAAGCGAGTGTACACAGGTGTTGAGGATCCTGCAAGAAGTCACTGCTGGGCAGACCGTCCTCAACATCTTGCCTGGTGGGTTGGATCTGATGACCTTGAAGGTATGGCAGCAATTGGAGTGACCTGGAGCGCATATATTCATCGGGACTTTCTTGGTTACAAATGACAGAAACCTAACTCACTAGCTTAAACCAAGAGAATTGATTGGCTTGAATAACTAGGAAGGCCAAAGGCAGCCTGGCTTTAGGCCAGCGTTTCTAGATCCAGGGTCTCAAACATTGTCACCAAAGCTCGGGCCCTCTCTCCCTTCTCCTGGCTCAGGTCCGCCCTGTGTATGTGGGCTTCATGCTCACCAGACTCTCTCCAGTAAGCAAGAAAGGTGGTGGCTGGCAGTCCAAGCCTGCGTTTCAGCTCAGCTCCAGATTTAAAAGGAAAGGAATTTCTGTTAGCTTTCACTAATCTGGGAAGGCTGTGGCCCTGCTTGGGTCACATGCCCCTTCAGGGCCGATCACTGTGCCCCAGGGATGGGATATTCTGATTGGCCACCCTGGGTTATACAATCACTTCTGGGTCAGGGGAACCTGGCACAGGACTGACGGCCCCACAGGGCCACATGGATAAGGGAGAGATGGTCCCTGCCCGAAAGGAAGGGCTAGCGGGCAGCAGACAACCTGTGTCTACTGCAGCCTAAACCCTTCCTTTGAGGGACTCCCAGGAACCCTCCCAGGAGGATAGAAACCATCCTGGCTATGGAATTTGGTGCCTATAAAGGTACATTCCTCCCGCCTCCACCACCAATTTTTTCCCCCTGATTTCAAAAGTAGCTCTATTCAGAGAACCAAGAAATCACACAAAAGCATGAAAAAAAAGAAGCAAAGAATTTTTTTTTTACATTTTGATGTTTAGTCTTCTAGTTCTTTAAAATGCATAACATAAATGAATGTATTTTTAGGGGCCAGCCCAGTGGCATAGTGGTTAAGTTTGCATGCTCTGCTTTGGTGGCCTGGGGTTCATGGGTTTGGATCCCAGGTGCAGACCTGCATATTGCTCATCAAGCCATGCTGTGGCAGTGTCCCACATACAAAGTAGAGGAAGATTGGCACCAGATGTTAGCTCAGGGCCTAACTTCCTCACCAAAAAAAAAAAAAGAAAGAAAGAAAAAAAGTATGTATTTTTTAAAGCAATAGTGTAACCATTTAATATAAGCTGTTTTGTGGCCTTTTTCTTCACTTAGCAAAACAATATGAATGTCTTTTTATGCCATTTAATATTTTTCTATGGCATGATTTTTAGTAGCCATGTGATCTTCCATTGTGTGAATGAAAATGGTATATATATAATATAGCAATTACTGCTTTATGAGTGCTTTCTAAGATAAGAGTTCCTCTTATGAACTTCTGAAGTAAGCATTAGTATCTCTTTATATAGAAAGAAAGACAGAATTAAAGAAACCGAGTATCTACACAAGGTTACACAACTGAGTAAATGGTCGAGTCAAACTTTAAATCGGGGCTTTTTGATCTCAAAGCCTGTGCTGTGTGCCCCAAGCCTCTTTAGAAAATACCTTTTAAAGGCTCTAGTGAAGTCTCCCAGGGAGAAGCATCTGCCTGGATGGCCAGTAGGGAAGGCAGACCCTGAAACCTAGCGTGCTTCTCCCAACTGTTTGGTGTGTGTCGTCAACCCCACCAGACAAGCAGAGCCCCCAGGCCCCAAAGTCCAGGCCTGTATGCCTGTGAGCCTGAGACAGGCACTGGGGAATGGCCGGCTACAGTGTAGCCGGATTAGTGAAGACGCAGCCTCCTGGAGAAATGCGGAATTAAAAGAGCTAAGTAAATTTTCACCCATCGGATTAAGATCTGGAAGTTGGTTTCTCCCTCTGTTGGCAAAGCTGTGGGGAGTAGATGCTCTCTTCCATTGCAGGGAGCGCACAGACTGCCCCATGCAGGGCAGGTTGGCAGCACTGTCAGCAGTACAAATGCACATGTTCTTTGACACAGCGATTTCAGTTGTGGGACTGTTCTCCAGTTACCTGCACACATGCAACGTGATGTGTGTACAAGATGAATCATTCCAATGTTGTTTGTAATAGCAAAAGATTGATAGTATCTTAAATGTTCACCAGGAAGGGAACTGGTTTAATAGATTGTGGAACAATAGATGTATTAGTTTGGCTAATTTAACACATATACCCCAAATCTCAGGGGCTTAACACAATAGAAATTTATTTATCTCCCACATAAAGTCCAGAATGGGTGCTCCTATGCAAGGAGTCATTCAGGGATCCAGGCTCCTTTCATCTTATAGCTCTGCCTTCTTCCACTTGTGAAACCCAGCTTCACTGTGTACATTAAGGCAGGAATGGGAAAGGGCATGGAGGTTTGTACGAAGAGTTGTTATGGACCCAGCCTGGAAGTGGAGCTATCATTTTCACTCACATTCTCTTGGACACATCTGTATAGAGTCTACTGTGTGTCCAGGAAGAAGAGGAACAGATTTGGTGGTCAGCTAGCTCTCTATACCATGGTGAAGCCAAATATAGTTGTAAAAAAGGATAAGGAAGCTCATTATGTACTAATATTATTATACAAAAAGGTAAGACACAATATCACCTGTAAAAAGGGGGAAAGTATGTGTTCATGTGCACCTGTATTTGTATAAGTAAGCTCTGCAAAGACGCATAAGAAACTTACCTGTGTGGGGCTGGGCCGTGACCTAGAAAAAAGAAGCTGAAGAGGCCCCCAAGCAAGATGTTGATCTGAAGGTACTGAGCAAAGGGGGAGAATTTAGATATAAAGCCTTGGGCTAGAAATTGAGGAGAGCACAGGTTCTGGGCAGAGGCTGGGCAGCCAAGCCCAGAGAGATTTCCCGAGCCCCTTAGCAGGCAGCTGCAGTGGCTTTTTCTATAACCATGCCCCGAAGGCTTCTGGGGACAAACAGAAATTGATACTTGCAGAGCATGTTGGAGCAAGCAGGCTCGCTCTGCTGGATAAGTCAGGACAGATATCCAGAGGAGGTAGAACCTGAGTTGGTTTCTGTACACACAGGCCTTGCTTCAGAGCGAAGTGGACGGGCAGCAGGAGCTCCCTCATTCTGCCCTCGACTTGGTGCACGTGTCATCCCCCTGACGGGTTGTAAGGCAAGGATCTAGAGGATGGAGAGAGTTCTTATTCTTAACATACTCTTACACTGATGAGTCAGTGTGGAATCACGTAATTTCTATCCATTCATTCATTCATAGATGCTTGAATGTCTACCCTAGTCCACGTATTGTAGGTGGTACAATTACAAAAGATGAAAAACATGGTATTCAGAATTCCTGCCTGCAGAAGGCCGTTCAGTCCAGGAATTGCCTGACTGGCTGCTCTCCGGTGGGCAAAAGGTTCTTAATATGTAGAGGGGAGTGCATCTACTGGATTGTGCTTCTGCATCACTATCTCACTGTTTCTTCCTCTTGCCCCTGAAGAATTCCTAAAAAAGCTGCCCTGCTTTTCTGGGTGGCTGAGTTCTCCACTTTCCTCAGGGCAGCATTGACATGAGCCGCGTGGCTGTGATGGGACATTCGTTTGGAGGGGCCACGGCTATTCTGGCTTTGGCCAAGGAGACCAACTTTCGGTAAGTTTCCCAGTGAGGCTGCTGTTAGCTCCACGCACCATTCATTCATTCAGCAAGTATTTGTTACACAAGTACTCTGTGCCCGGCAGTGTTTTGGGGGCTGGGGATTCAGTGGTGAGAGAGAACAAGGTCTCTGCTTTCATGGAGTGATGTCATTGTGGGAGGAGATGGACTAGTAAACAAGCTAACCGAATCATCGAAGCCCCAGCACCAGGTGCAATGGAGGAAATAAAATAGGCTGATATGCAAGAGTATCTGAAGGCTTCTTTGAGAAAGTGATGTAAGCCAAGACTGGAGAGGCAAAGAAGTCAGCCATATAAAGGTGTAGGGGAACATTCTAGGCTGAGGGTACAGCTAATGCGAAGGCCCTGAGGTGGAAAGAAGCTTGCTAGGTCAGCGTGGGAGGAGCATAGTGGGTGAGGGGAAAGCTATTCGAGATATGTTCAGAGAGACAAACGGGCCAGATCACAGGGCCTTAGGCCAGAATAAGGAATGGACTTCTAAGGAAGTTAGATTTTATTCTAAGTCTGATAGGAAACCGTTGAAGGACTTTAAGCTGAGAAAAGTCTTGCATTTTAAAAGATCTCTCTGGCTACTGTGTGAAGAGTGGGTTGTAGCAGGAGGAGATTAAAAACAAGGAGGCTAGTTAGAGAGGCTGTTTCAGAGTCAAGGTGAGCCACGCTGGATGTGCTTTAGGATGGAAGGAGTGGAATGGAGAGAAGCCAATGGAGTCAGGGTATGTTTTAGAATTTTCGAGACTTAGTGATGCATGAGCTGAAAGAAAGAAGGGAATCAAGGGTTTTCGTTTTTGTACCTATCATTTGAGTGGAAGATAATTATCCTTTATTCAGATGGAGACGATCAGAGGAGCATTGTGGGGGAGGGGCACTAATCTTAGGGCCTTAGTCTTGCTCCTGGTGACAGAGATTACTGCTTGACAAACTGGCCAGGTCTTTGCATTGTGGCGCCAAGGCGGCTTTTCCTGACCTCCCCGCCACATACGCTGTGGGCTCACATAGCACCTGTGCTCTCAGGGCACTAGGCTATATTTTGTTGCCTTGTCTGTTCTGTCCCCCCTTCTAGACTGGGAGCTCCTTGAGAGCGAAAACTGTGTCATTTATCTCTGTATCCACAGCACAGGGCTAGGCACATAGTAGGTACTCAATGAATGTTGAATGAATGAATGATTAAACGAATGAAGTGCTGTTTTGTGTAACTCAAGTCAGCTGCCTGAGAGTAGATCCAGGAGAATGAGAAGGTCAGATCCTTGCTCTCAACGAGTTTAAAATCTAGAAAGATCTTTGGTGACAAATAAGTGATCTCTATCCAAGGTCTTAACCAAAGGATGTGGGCCCTAGTACCTGCTTCCTGGCTTCCTGAGCCTTCACCCCATGAGAGGGAGGAACTCTGCCCCTTCCGCCACTGCCCTCACTGTCCTTTCCTGGGTTTCTGCATGGCAGTTCCAAATGTCTGGTCCTGTTCCAGCTGTGCTGTGGCTCTGGATGCTTGGATGTTTCCTCTGGAGCGGGACTTTTACCCCAAGGCCCGAGGCCCTGTGTTCTTCATCAATGCTGAGAAATTCCAGACAATGGAGAGTGTCAACTTGATGAAGAAGATATGTGCCCAGCATGAACAGTCCAGGATCATAACTGTCCTGTGAGTAAACACCAAGGTCATGATCCCCAGTGTCCTCTCCATTCTCTACTTATCTGTGCTGGCTCCCTTAATTTCTTCTAAATTGTCCAGAAGTTCTCCCCACATAGAATACATAAATAGTTCCTGAACTTCAGCATCCTCATTCCTTTACAATTTCATTCTGTCCTCGTTCTCCACTTAGCTCCACCTACAGTGATTTCTTCACTAGTTTATATGACTTTATGGATGGATTTACGTCGTGCTTTCTGGGAAAAAAAGTATTGTGAGATTGTGTGTTGGAGAGGAAGAGGTGTGGGTCTGGGTGGACTCCAGAGATCTCTAACCTCATTTGGGAATTTTCTTGGCTCTTTTGAAGACTGTGGATATAGTAGACCTTTGACATTCACAAGATAGATTTTTAAAGACCTAAATTCAGATATCTTTCATAAACCATCTATGTTCTGCCTGAGAGAAACCACATTCTCTTCACTTCCATCACCAGCACTATCAGATGGCTTTCTTCCTGAAGCCATTTTTCACAGAGACAAAATTTTTGAGTGACTTTAAGAAATGTCCTAGGGGGCCGGCCCTGTGGCCAAGTGGTTAAGTTTGCACGCTCCACTTCGGCATCCTAGGGTTCAGATCCTGGGCACCAACATGGCATTGCTCATTAGGCCACGTTAAGGCGGCATCCCACATGCCACAACTAGAAGGACTCACAACTAAAATATACAACTATGTACTGGGGAGATTTGGGGAGAAAAAAAGCAGGGGGGAAAAAAAAGACGATTGGCAACAATTGTTAGCTCAGGCGCCAATCTTTAAAAAAAAAAGAAATGGCCTAGGGGGCTGGCCCGGCTGGTGCAGCGGTTAAGTTCACACGTTGCACTTTGGTGGCCCGGGGTTCGCCAGTTCAGATTCCAGGTGCAGACATGGCACCGCTTGGCAAGCCATGCTGTGGTAGGTGTCCCACATAGAAAGTAGAGGAAGATGGGCATGGGTGTTAGCTCAGGGCCAGTCTTCCTCAGCAAAAAGAGGAGAATTGGCAGCAGATGTTAGCTCAGGGCTAATCTTCCTCAAAAAAGAAAAGAAAGAAAGAAAAGAAAGAAAAAAAAAAGAAATGTCCTGTACACAGGAAGTGGCTTAGAGCTGCAGGTGCGGGGCTGAAGGCTCGCTGGCTAGTCTCTGACTTGCGCCTACCCTGCGCTCGAGCCCCATGGCACACATGCTTCAAGGATCCCTGGTCCTATTTCAGGAAAACAGCAAGTAACTGCATGCCTTGGACCTCTGGAATCAGTCAGGTAGTTGGACCGCCAAGTCCAAAGCCCTGGAATGCTAGGGGGCTCCTGGCGGTCAGTGGCTTCTTCCCTTTCTCCTCTTGGCCCAGGCTTTCTTCCTTGGGGCCAGCCCCTCCCCTTTCATTTTGATTTCCTGGCAGCAGAAGACTGTTTGAAAGTTTCCCCAAGCCACTCAGATTCAGAATAATTGTGACCTCTGGAAAGAAGGGAGGCGGGAGCAGGTGGGCAGGGGTGCACAACAGGAATTTAACTGTTGGCAATGTAGTCTTTCTTAAACAGTGCTGGAGACTCAAGCATCCATTATATTATTCTTTACGCTTTTTCTTGTGCCTTAAGTAAGAGGGTTTTTTTTCCCCAAAGCCCTCCAGTACATAGTTGCATATTTTAGTTGTGGGTCCTTCTAGTTGTGGCATGTGGGATGCCGCCTCAGCGTGGCCTGATGAGTGGTGCCATGTCCGCGCCTGGGATCTGAACCGGCAAAACCCTGGGCCACCGAAGCGGAACACCCAACTACTTGGCCAGGGGCCAGCCCCCCGATTTTTTTTTAAAGTCAATTTTTCTGCATGATATCCAAGTTTAGTGTTTAGATTTTCCTTCCTTCATTGAATTGACTAGTAAATTTAGTTATGGGTAGTTTAGCCCATAATGAACCTAGTGAGAATTTCAACCTCAAATGTGTTTAATGTCAAAGGACTTACATTCTAATCCAGAAACCCTCTTTTACAAGTGCTTGCCCTCACTGTTCTGATGGCTTAACTAAAGGCAAGTCATTCCTTTTTCCTGTTTTTGTTTGTAGAACAGTTCTGAAAACGGAGCGAATATGTTTTGAGAATGTTTGGAAGTCACCAGGTGAAAGTCACGTTGTAGCAGTTTATAATACCACGGGAATGGCAGGTGCTGCAGACCGTGCCTCCTTACCCGTGTCCCCACTCCAGCTCAGCCTTTTCCCTGCACGTCAGGCATTGGGGCCCAGGGGCTGAGGCAGCTTTGAAGCCAGGCACACCTATGTTCAAATCCTAACTCTGTCCCTTACTAGCCATGTGACCTTGGGCAGATCATTTCTCTGCTCTGATTCTGTCAATGGGGAAAATACTTCCCTTACAAGATTGTTGTGAAAATTAACTGAGATAATGTGCATAAAGCACCTTGCACGTAGTGGGTGCTTCACAAGTGTTTGTGTGCCCTAGTCTCCAGATCCCTACCAGTTATTTGTTTTTCTTTTCCTCTAGTGGTTCTGTTCATCGGAGTCAAACTGACTTTGCTTTTGTGGCTGGTAACTGGATTGGTAAATTCTTCCCCACTCAAACCCGTGGGAGTTTGGACCCCTATGAAGGTCAGGAGATTGTGGTGCGGGCCATGTTGGCCTTCCTGCAGAAGCACCTTGGTAAGGAGAGGCCTGGGGCTCGTGGGGCAGCCTGAGGGTCCTTAGATTTTTCTGCACAGTGGTCTGTACTGACACGTCTCGGGTCAGGGAGATTTATGGCAAAAGGAAAACCTGAGTGAAGGAGAGGGTTACATAGAATTTAGGAAGAAGACTTAGCTGAGAGTTTGGAAATCCTGACTCTGTTTCTTACTGCCTGAATGACTTTGGCCTGGTCACTTAACTTCTCTGAGCCTTGGTTTCCTTGCTGTAAATGGAACATTCGCTTCTCTGCTCCACTACCTCTGTCCTAACTCATGATCACTCACCTTATCTACTTTGTGGAGGAGGTTCTGATGATAAATGGGCTAAATTTGTGGAAGTGCTTTAAAGAAACAAAGCATGGAAGGATTGTTAATAATGTCGTAAATCACAGACTAGCTAAATGGCAAGGCCTGTTGAGGTCTTTGGTCCAGCCTCCCACCCAGAGGAGATTCCCTCATATCTTCCCTGCCGCACGCTCAACCAGCGTGGAGTGTGCACTGCTATGAGGGTCAGCCCTCTCCACCGCTGGGAACTTTAATGGGTTTTTTTTTTGGTTCTTGTTTTTGGTTTGGGGTTTTTTTGATGAGGAAGATTAGCCCTGAGCTAACAACTGTTGCCAATCGTCCTCTTTTTGCTTGAGGAAGATTGTCCCTGAGCTAAGATCTGTGCCAGTTTTCCTCTGTTTTTGTTCTTTGTACGTGGGATGCTGCCACAGCATGGCTTATGAGCAGTGTTGTAGGTCCACATCTGTGATCTGAACCCACGAACCCCAGGCTGCTAAAGCGGAGCTCATGAACCCAATCAGTACATCACCAGGCCGACCCCAAAACTTTAAAGGTTTTAAGAGTTGATATTGTAGTTAAGCTTTCTTGGGTTACAAGAGCTGGAGATTCACTAATTTACCTCGAGAAAAAAGGGGAGTTTGTTTATGAAAGTATACCTGGCCAGGTGGGAAGTAAAAAGGTACAGGAAGCAAGGTAGCTTGCAGGACTGACTTCTCTCTTGGTCTCTCTCATGGGCTCAGTCTGTTTCTTCCTCTTGTGACATCTCTGTTTCTTTTTGCTCCAGTCTCTGTTTTTCTCCGTTCTGCTCTGTATTTTGTCTCTTGTTGATAGCATCTGTTTTTTCAGTTTCTACTTCCTCATAATTTCCATTGGCTTGAACCACTCATGGCTTGTTCTCTCTACCTCGTGGCCTCCTGTCCTCTTCAGCTCCCACTGCTCACTGCTGTATTTTCTTGGATTTCTTAGACCAGATTCCCAGGAGAGACAAATTGATTGTACCAGCTCATCTTTATCTGCCAAAACACATTGTAGGCCACTGCCCAACCTAGGCCTGCAGCTCCCCTGATCAGATGTCCCTTTCTGATCCAGTCAGAATGGAGTAGGCTGCCACTGTCTGCATGAGGCTGATCCCTCAGCAGGCGCTGTGCATAGGGCAGTTTCCTTTAGAAGGGATCCAGGTTGACCGGTGTTCTTAAGGTTTGACCTAACTCTAATCTAACGCTTAGATGTGATACTTTGTAACTCCTCCCCACTTGCCCTGGTTATCCCTTCAAGAGCTATCCAGAGAAGCCTCAGACCCCTGCACATGGCAGCTCTTTAGATAATTGAAGTCACCTATGGTGTCCTCTCTGAGTTTTCTGTTCATTAAGCTAAGTGTCTGTGGTACCTGCCCTGTTCCCCATGATGCCATTTATTACCCCCTTTGGATGCACTGTGTGTCGGTGTGCCTTTCAATGTGTGGTGTCCTGACTTGAACACGATGTGCCAGCTATGGTCCGACCTGAGACTGGTTCAGCAGGACTGTCACCTCTATGCTCTGGACACCAGACTTCTAGTTAGATGGCCTGAGTGCATTAACATTTCCAACAAGTGCCTCACAAATTTGGTTTGGATTGAGTTTGCTTTTAAAACATATCTGTCCTTTTATAAATGAGTTGGCTTTTTGAACGTAAATTTACATTTATGTATTTATGGCTGTTCATTTCATCTTGCTCTTCATGGGCCATTATTCCAGGCCAGGTGTAGAGACTTTAGGTTTAATAGAGACCATAGAGGATCATTCTTAGCACCTGGTAGGAGAGGAATGGATCTATGTCTCAAGACGTTAATGGGGCCTGACTACATCGTCCTCAGCCCACTTTCCCTGTTTCCTCTTAGGCACCATGTCATCAGGTAAGAGCTAAAGATGACAAGGGAGCCCACCGGGGCATGATTGGGCTCCCTTTAGTAGCAATGCCTGTTGAGCTAGATGCTCATTGCTGAAGCCCAGCAGAAGAGGAGATGGAGGGTAGGAGAGTCTTAGCCTGTCGGAAGTTTGTTGAGGACTTTCTCTATGCCAGGCCTCCCACTAAGTACCTTAGGTGCGTTGTCACATGTAATTCTGAAGACAGCCCTTTCTAGTAGGTACTTTGATTATTAACTCCGTTTTATAGATGAGGACACTGAAGCTTAGGAAATTTAAGTAATTTGTCCAAGGTTATCTGGTTATGCAACCCATTCTTCTCTTCTCATTCTCTCTTAAGCCCACTCCACTCAGGCTTTGTATCCCCGTCCTCCATGAAAACTGCTTTTGTCAAGGTCACCAGTGACCTTCACATACTAAATCCACTGGTCAGTTGTCATTCTTCATCTCATTGGAACTCTCAGCAGCCTCTGACAGAGTTGATGACTCCCTCTTCTGTGAAAGCCTGTCTTACTTCCGGGATACCCCACTATGGATTTCCTCCTATCTCAGTGTCTGCTCCTCCTCAGCCTACTTTGCTACTTCCAGGCTCAGTGCTTGGACCTCTTCTCTCTGTATCCCCTGATGTCATCTAGTCTCATGGCTTTAAAGGTCATCTCCATGCTGACAATTGCCCTGCTACCTGCTCAGCAGTTCTGCTTGGACATCTAACAGACATCACAAACGAAAACCAGTTTCAATGGTTAATAGTAACTCCATCCTTCTGGTTACTCAAGCCAAAGTCCCCAGTCTTGTCTTGTCTCTTCTCTCACACCTCCCATCCAACCCTCAGAAAATCCTATTGGCTGTACCTTCAAAATATGTATGGAATGTCATCTCTTGTCACCACTGCCACAGCCGCCATCCTGTCTCGCCTATGTTACTGTAAGAGTTTCCTAACTGCTGTCCCTACACAGTCTTCTTAGTCAAGCAGCCAGGGCGATCCTGTTAGAAAGTAAGTCAGATCTTGCCACTCCTCTACTCTGAATCCTCCAATGGCTCCCCATTTCTCTGAGAGTCAAAGCCAACACCCAGCATCCTGCCTGGCCTATATGATGAGGCCCTCCAGTCCCTCCTGACCTCCTCTCCTGCTGTTCATCCCCTGGCCTGATTCACTCTCATTGCACAAGCCTCCAACACTCCAGGTACCCTCCCACTTCAGGCCTTTGCACTGCTGTTCCTGCTGCCTGGAACACTCTTCCCATATACTCTCGGGGCTCAGTCCCGCCTCCTTCAAGTTTTTGTTCAAATCTCACCTTCACAGTGGGGGCCACCCTGACCACTCTTTAAAACACTATACCTTCCCTTCCTCCCCTCACCCCTGTCCCCCGGCCACCACCACAGCTTCTATCTGGCTCTGTTTCTTTCTATAGCATTTATCACCTTTTCATATCCTGTATAATTTATTATGTTTAATGTTATCTCTGCCTACTAGATTGTGAGCTCTATGAGGATGAGAGTTTCTGTTTGTGAATGTATTTTTAGCACCAAGAGCAGACTGGCACATAGTGATGTGCTCAGTATTTTGAATTAATGAATATGTAGCACTTATTTGTGGAGGACCTATTCCATGCCAGGTTCTTGGCAGGGCACTGGGGATCTAAAGATGAAGGAGAGTGTCCCTGCCTTCTGTCCCAGGCTTTGTTTTAAACAAGGACACCATTTGCCTGCTCAGCTGTGCCCCAGTCCCTCTGCCTGAGGCCTTGGACCCTTTCAGAATGTTCTTCCATGTGGTTAGACCCATCTGCCCATGATCCCAGGGCTCTCTCTTGAATCATACCCGGTGTTATGCTGCTCCATGATGTTGCCACCCTATTCCTTCTGCCCTTCACTGAGTGGGCACTGGATTTGCATCCACTGTCTGGCGTGTGAAGGAGCTCTTCTTGCTTGGCAACATCCCTGAGCTTGGAAGTAGGCATTCCATCTTCTCACCCTCTCTGACTGGAGTTTGAATTCTGTCTCTACCACTCACCGACTATAATGACCTTGGACAAATCAGGTAGCTTCTCTGAGTCTCGGTTTCCTCACCTGTAAAATAGGACTAATAATAGTACTCAGCTCTTAGGGATGCTATGGAAATTAAATGAAACAAGGCTTGTTTAGCACAGTCCCGGGAATAAATTATCCTTCAATAAATGTCACCTTCTGCTAGTATTATCATTATTGAATTGTTATGGGTTAAGCAAGTCATTTATGAAGCACATTTATAGGGGCACCCAATGAATGATAGTTACCGTCATTGCTACCACCATCACAGCCACCAGAACCAGTCCTTTTAGTGTTCCAGGGGCTCCTTTCTCTGGGATGACCCACTAAATCCATGGTAGCTGCTCTTTGATCTAAGCTTACGCCAATTCGCCTAACCTTCCTGTTTTTTTCCCATTCAGACCTGAAAGAGGACTATGACCAATGGAACAATTTCATTGAAGGCATTGGACCATCGCTTACCCCAGGGGCCCCCCACCATCTCTCCAGCCTGTAGGCACAACTGGCCATTTGTAAAAGGTCACTGAGCTGAGTTCCCATTTGGGGCCTGCCCAGGGACACCCACAGCCTCAAGAAAGTGGTCAACATGACCCTTCTTCATAAATTGAGAGGGTGTAATCACACTGCTGATTGGATAACTGGGTACTTTGATCTTGGACTTGTTGATCTTATACTTATGGTGGGACTTGGTTTGCTTACTGATTGGCAAACTGACTTTCTGGGGCCTGAGCCCTGATGGTGTGGGGAATAAGCAGTGGGGTGGGGCTGGGGGGGACCCAAGCCCCAAGCTGAGCACTGTTAACCCAGCAAGGCTACTCCCGCACCTTGGGCCAGTGTGGCTTCTGCAGCGGAAGAAATGAAGCCAAAGGATGGAGTGAAAATTCCCACCTTCAGGACCTCTAGCCCAACCTGGCACTGTCTCTTCCTACCTCTCAGCCTTCTCCCTTTCCAGGGCCACTTGGTGAGTTCTAAGCACTTTAGGCAACGTTCGAGGATACGGACCACCATCAGATTTTCTGTTTATTTTCAAGCCTTCCCATTGCATGAAACATAGTACTGGGCACTGAGTCAGGACTCAATTATACTTGTGAGCCCATGGAGAGGGGCAGACAGCACTGTCCTCATAGCAGAGAGAGAGAAGCTGAGGTACAGAGGGGTACCTCAGAAGCTCTAGATGTCTTGGGATTTTGCTAAAAATGTATCTTGACAGGAAGCAACACAAGTAGGTTGAGACGAAGAAGGTAGAGTAACAGCGTTGAGTAGCCATTTGAACAGGTCCTCAACACAAGAGGGAGGTAGTTTGGTCAGTTAGAGTTCAGGAGGCCACCCCTGGACAGGTCTGGGAACACTGTGGTCTTGCCTCTTACCTCAGATATCTTGAGCCTCAGCTCGCTCAGAATCAGGGTGCTGTAGTTGTCTGTTTTCTGGCTCTGAGGCCCTAGCCTCAAATTTAAGTCAAGATATAGACTGAATTTCCATTCTGTTCCATTTATACTATGAATGATATTAATACTCATGTTTGCCTAATGATATGTTGGAATATTCTCTCTATTTAATCTGCATTAGAGCAGGATGGGGAGCCATCTGGCAGTAACTTTTCCTTCTGTCTTTCTTTGTTCACTTACCACTTGTGCCTATGTGCAAGAAAAACTTTAAAAGAAAAGGAAGTCTTCCTAGGGATCTAGTTCAAAGCTGTCTGGGAACATCAACCTGAAACAGCCCTCCACACTCCTCTAGGCCTTTCACCTCCGTCCAAGTAGGGGACCCCAGAGGAGGCTAGAGCAAAAGGGAAATGCGTCTCTACGCGATGGGTCCAAGGTCAGTGCCACCAAAGCAAGCTGGGACTAGGTCTCCCACCTCTCAGCTCTTCTGTCTGAGGTGAAACATCAGATCCGTTGAGGATGGACCTTGGGAAGACCTGTGAATTCCCGTGAGACCTCGCCTCCGGGGAATCATGAAAGCCCTGGGCTCTAGAGTTCTATAGCTGGTTTTGAGTCCTGCCTCCACCACTACTAACTGGGTAAATTTGAGCAAATTATGTTCTCTTTCCAATCTCCATTCCTGCATTTCTAAAATGGGCATCTGCATTATAATAGTTAGGAGGATTAAGTGAGAGGATGTATAACCCATGGGTTATTTAAAAGTATTTTTCCTACTTTCCAAACATAGGAGATTTTTCTAGTTGTCTTATAGCAGTTGTTTTCTTGCTTAATGGCTTTTGGTCAGAGAAAATGACCCATATGGTTTTCATCCTGAAAATTGCTTCTTGGCCCAGTGTGTGATCAATTTTATAAATGTTCCATATATGCTTAAAAAGACTGTATGTTCTGAAGTTGTTGGCTTGCTGTTTTACTCAACGACACATTATGGATTTCCTTCTATAAGAGTGCATACAGATCTATAATAGGGCCTTCCCACCCCCAAATGGGGACCAGCGCCCCTCCGCACTCACAGAACCAGTAGATGCCAGCTCTTGTGCCTGGGGCTAGTTCTGCAGATGCTGAGGGGCCAGTTCTGGCAGCATTAGCACGTGAGACCCAGCTTCTACCTTAGACCCATGAATAATGCAGGTGTATTTTTTAAAGATTGGATCCTCCCTAGAAAAAGAAACTGTTCAGAAACTGGATCCATCTCCTCCATTCAGTTCATGTTCTGGTAATGACCTATTTATCCAGCAACATTGGAATAGGTGAATTTTCCATATAGCTGCAAATTATCCTTTAAGCCACAAAATATAATATTGAATATTTTGAGTGGTAATTTACCAAAAAGATAATGCACACATTTTTTAATGTGAATTGACCTCATTTAATTTTTTAGGATGTTTCAGTCAGGATAAACTGATTATATGGCAGTAACAAGCAACCTCAAAAAGCAACAAGTTTATTTCTTGCCTGTGCTACTTGTCCTCTGTCGTTTGGCTAGAGGCTCTGCTTTGTGCCATTTTTATCCTCATTTGGGGACCCAGGCTGGCGGAGCTGGCACTATCAGAAGTGTGCTGCCAGTCACATGGTAGAGCTGGAAGAGAGCATGGTGAAGCACCCACCAGCTCTTGAATCTTCTGCCCAGAAGTGACACTTGTTATTTCTGTGCACATTGCATTGGCCAAAGCAGGTCATCTGGCCATACCTAACATCCCATGCCATCCCAAGAGAGCACAAATATGTGTGACCAGGTCTAATGTCAGAGCAGTGGCACCCTCTGGTCTGGGAAGATGTGGATAGCTGTTTGCTCCTACACCGTGTGGCTCCCGGCAGCCGTCTTCCTAGTTGTTTTAATTGCTTGTCATAGTTTGTGCTGTCTCCCTTGTGGTCAGGCGGCCAGCCTTTACTCTTCATTGCCTTTAATCTGCCAGCCCCTAGCAGCTCTCGCTGTTCGCTTCAAGTTTATAATTTCTGATTAGCCACGTGATTTCCCACTGTCCGAAGTAAAACTAGGCAGGCACTGAAAGACAGCTTGAGGGACTCTGCTGCAACTAAAGTGTGCTGCCTTTAGTGCTTGGACCCTGTAATCCTTCCTGAGACTGCTCAGAAGGGGTATCATAAGGCCTTTGGTCCTTCATCCTGGCTTTTGGTTAGCTTCCAGGGAATCGAAAAATACCAGATAAATGGCCTTTAGGTAAACAGGGTGGCCCAGCATATTGATAGCATGTCCTGATAAATTGCATTCTAGTGAATCCTTTCCAAAAGCAAAGAAGATGTCTTGGGTTTCTTTTGCATCTTCTTGTTCCCCATCCTATTATAGGACTGTACCGTGGAGGCCTCCTAGTGGTGTGTTGTGAAGTTTCTGAGCATGGGATGGTGCGTCAGTTAGGAAGGAAGGTAAGTAAATACAGGAAGGAATGAGATTCTCCGTCCCTCCCACTTCCTGGACGTGTCAGGGTGAGACTGGCTGGGTTCTTGCTATGCCCCCAGCACGGACCCCAAGCCCCTTTCCAGTGTGTGTCCTGACACAGCTGTCCCAGTTGCCCTTCCTCAAGAAGACTACTGGGCTCTTGAAATGTCAATTGATGGACTCCAACTCTGTGTCTTGGCCTTGTAGGGGCCTTTATCTGCCCCCTTTTCTTCTAGGGCCTGACTTATCTCTGGGCCTGCAAGGTAACGGAGGAACAGGACAGGCCATACTCTATACTCAGGACCCATCCTCATTTCCTAATGAGCTTCCTAGCTCACTTCCTGTCCCATCACAGCCAGATGCAGAGGCCAAGTGTCCCTGGCCATGACTGCATGGCCAAATGATGACAGTGATAACCACTGTGGTAGCCAACATTTTGGGGGCCCTTACTGTGTGTCAGGGACTATGCTCAGTGCTTTATATGCATCATCTCATCTGCTTCTCACCCCGTGAGATCAGGTGGAATTAGCCTCATTTTATGTACAAGGAAACAGAGCCTTAGAGAAGCGATTTGATAAAGCTCTCACAGCAAGAATTTGGCAAAGCTGGCGCTTAGGCATAAAAATCTGAGCTCTCGATCACTGGGCTGTACTGCCTAATATACATACTTGGTTTTCCCCTTCCACTGCTCTTTCAGCTGTCGGGGTATGAGGGATGAAATTTCATCACAGATTGAATCATAATGTCAAACTCTCCAGCAATTTCTGTATGATGTGCATTGAGATTCGGTGACATCCTCAGCACTGTTGAGAAATGGGTTGGGGGAAAGGACCGCGCCTCACTGACTGGGCCAGGTGCTCTGTGGATTTGATAGATGAGGAAAGCAGTTCAGGGATTAAGAACGTCGTCTTTGGAAATCAGACAACTCCAACACTGTTAGCCCTGTGACTTTGTGCTAATTTATCAACTTCTGTGAGCTTCAGTTTTCTCATTTATAAAATGGGCGGTCTAATAGTATTTACCTCTTAGGGTTATTGTAATAATTAAATGAAATAATGCCTGTAAAGTGCTCATCACAGTGTCTGTACTATCCTAAGGGTGTAATAAAGATTAGCTATCACTATGTGGTTTATTGGGTTCTCCTTACATACCTGTAAGGTTAGGTATAATTTGCCCTTGTACTGAATGGACACGGATGGTCTTGGTCTAAATTCTTATTCCAGCTTCTCCAGTTTCACGGTTACCTCCCTCACAGAAGCCTGCTAACTGCCACTCAACTGCTGCCGTTGTGTGAGGCTGGAACTAGAATAAGGGAGACAGTTTTTCCCCTCTCTTTGCTCTGATTTCCCTGCTCCTCACATCAAAAATCAAGATCCGCACCATCGTTCCAGCTTTGCAGGCTCTCTTCACCACCAGGAAGAGTCTACATGTTTAGGTTCTGGTTTGGGTTTTAATTTCACGCCTGATCATCCAAACGCACACGTCTGTGCACCAAATGGAAACCGAAGGTCCTGACGTGTTAAACGGGAGGATCGGAGATGTCCGTGTAGAGGTTGGGCGAAGGGAAGAGGACCTGGGGATGGGGAGTTTGTAGTAGAGACTAGTTGTGTTCATTTTTGTCTGCTGCCTTTGAGGTGGGAGTGAGGGGTTAAAGTACCCTGTGACCTCGGGAGAAGCTCCTCAGGGCTGAGGGCGGCCTGCGAATGACCTCTGCACAGCTCTCTCCCTCACTGCCCTGTCCGGTTTCCCACTAGGTCCTCTTGTTTCTTCCCTCTTGGTGATTCTCACACCCAGCCTGTTCTTTCCATTTCCATCAACTCACCCCTAGAATAATTTTTACGATCTCTCAGACTCTAATCTTTCTTTCCCCTGCTTTCTGCTGCCAGATCTGCCTAAAATACCACTTTGGTATCAAAGTACCTGCCTAGCAAGGTGATCTAATGGAAGAAGGACCAAACATTGTCTGGAGCCCTGGGTTCTTGTCTCAGCTCTCTCACTCTCTCTTGCTCTGTGACCTCCTGTGTATGCTATTCCTCTCATGACTTCAGTTTCTCTGTCTATAAATTGGAATGTTGGGGGCGGGATTGAATTGGCTGATCCCTAAGGCCCCTTTGGTGCTGGCATTTCCCGTCTCGTTCACTGAGTGGTCAATCTAAGGCCTCCCTTTTTTCTGTAGAATTGCGTTTCTCCCACTCATTCTGTCTGGTCTTGCCCTGCCTCCCCGTCCTCTGCTTCTTACCATGCACTCTTCTTTTTCCGCAGTCTCCTGAACGTGCCCAGCCACTCCCCAAACAAACATGCCTGCTGTTTCTCATGATATTTTCTTGCTTGCAGGGCCTTCCCAACTTCCTTTCTAAATATCCAAATACTACTAATCCTTTAGGCCCATTTCTAGTTCCACCTCTTCTACGAAAGCCTTCTTGATTAGATTCAATGAACATTTGATCTCTTGGCCTCTTGCTCCCCAAGAGAAATACATTCTATGCCATATTTAGTATTGCACTTTATTGCATTGTTCCAGGAGCGGGACCCATCTGTTGGAAGGGAAAAGCAGCCTCCTGTTGACTGACATGGGGAGCAGGGATCACTGTCCCCTCCCTCCGACCCCTCCCCGTCAGCAGGCTTCTTGTTCCCCAGCCAGACTTGGGAACAGCTGGTGTTCGCCCAGCCCTCTGATGTCTCCAGCTGCCCCTGCTTCCTTTTCTTTTGGTTTTTCCACATCCCAGCTGTGGGGCCCAGGGCAGAGCCCGCAACAGTGCAGCCAAGGGCAGCTGGAGTGAACTGAGATACGTGGACATGTAGCATTTGAGAGGTGGAAGGAGGGCAGAACCGAGCACGAATCACACCAGTGTTGAAAATGAGGGAAAGCAGTTTGCCAGCTAATTTTTCCCATCTTGCTTTCATCTAAAAAAAGAAGCTGCTCAGAAATACAGTCCTCTTCAGCCTGCTAAGCCAGATGGTCCCTAGATGCTCAGCCTGCCAAGTGTGCATGTATAATTATTCATCTTCGTGGAATCACACCCGGGTCTGAATCCAGACACTGACACATTTTTGCCATTTGATCTGGAGCCAGTGAACCCTCCCGAGCCTTTCTTTTTCTGTAAAATGGGGTCACTAATGTCTGCTTTGCCCACCTCAGGATTTTTTGGAGGGAAAGGGTTTCAATGTAAGAGCGCTTTGCTATTACAAAGCACTAGACAAATATATATTGCTATTAATAATAAAAGTGCCATATTTTGTTTTTGCCATAGTGTGCTGCTACTTAACGAGCACCTTTCTGTGCTAGATACTGAGTGTTTTACGTACGTTGTATCATTTAATCCCAACAACATTCCTGTAAGGTAGTGCATGTTATCCTCACACACAGATGAGGAAAGTGAGGTTCAGAAAGACTTGCTGGCCTAGCCACGGTCACCCAGCGTGTAAGTGCTGGAGCCAGGATTTGAACCTAAACTGTTGGGTTCCAAAATCAGTGCTCTTATTTCCTGTTCTTTCCTATCTCACAAAAAGAAAGTGGTACTTTACCTTACATAGGCTAAAATAACCCACAATTTGATCTCTAGTAAATGCCCTAAGCAGTTATATCATACAAAGAGTCATTTTTGTTCAAGACCTGACTGAATCCTGATTGAGTTTACCTTGAATTGTTTTTCTAGCAGTAGATTCAGGCTGGTTCCATCCATCCTTCCATCCATCCATGAACCTCATCTAAAGTTAACAGTTCAGGGAACAAACCGTTAGTACCTTACTCTATAAACCATGGAGCCAACGAGCTGGGAGAAACATTTTTAAAAGTCTCTAACCCACATATTGTAGATTAGTGATTCTCAGCTCTGGATCCACATCAGACTCACTCTGGAACTATATAAAAATGCAGATGCCCTGGCCACATCTCCAGAGACCCAGAGAAGCTGATTCAGAAGGTGTAGGGTGGGGCCAGGTAGGGGTGTGTGTGTGTGTGTGTGTGTGTGTGTGTGTGTTTTAGAAGCTCCAGGGGCTGATACACAGCCAAGTTTGAGATCCCTTGCTATGGTTTAACACTGTTAGCCTATTTTCTCTTTTATGGAACAAGAGTAATTACTAGCTGAAAATATAGAATCATTAAATTAGAATTGAAAGAGCCTTTAAGACTTTTGGTCCTTGAGGAAAACAAAACTCAGAGAAGTTCAGCATGTAGCTGGCAGACTTGAATTAAAATTCAAGTCTTCTGCCTTCCAGGCTAGTGCTTTAGATACATCCTTGGGTGCCAGGGTTTTGTTGGATTATTAAGAAAATCTGAAAGAAAGAAAGAAAGAAAGAGAGAGGGAGAGAAAGAAAGAGAGAGCAAGGAAGGAAGGAAGGGAAGAAGGGAGGGAGGGAGGGAGGAAAGAAGGAAGGAAGAATCCTCTAGACTCACTCACTGTGACAACCGTGACTCTAGCAACCACACGTTGGAGTTTGTGTGAAGGGAAGGAGCCTAGGCTGGAAGGCCTGTGAGAATCCACTTGGATGGCTGTTCTCACGCGTGTTCGTTCATTGTACAGGCACTTAATGAGGCCTGTACTGTGCTGGCCCCGTCCTCATGGAACTGACTCCAGAGGGCAAGGAAGGCACATCCACAGGCCCTGTGTGATGAGTTCTGTAATCGGGGATGTGTAAGGCTCAGAAGTGGCACAGGGTGACCAGTTCAACGTCAGCAGAGGAGGAAGACTAAAAAGGCTTCATACTGTATCATATACTTGACCTTGGTATTTGTATTAGTTATCTATTGCTGCATAATAAATTACCCCAAAATTCAACAGGTTAGAACAAACATTCTATCACACTTTATGGCTCAGGAATTCTTGAGTGGTTTCGCTGAGTGGTTCTGGGTTAAGGCCTCATGAGGTTACAGTCAAGACATCATCTAGGATTGCTGATATCTGAAGTCTTGACTAGGTCTGGAGGATCCACTTCCAAGTTGGCCCACTCACATGGCTGTTGGCAGGAGGCCTGAGTTCGTCATCGTGTGGAGCTCTCTATAAGACTGCTGCTCAGGACACGGCAGCTGGCTTCTTCCAAAGCAAATGACCCAAGAGAGTAAGATGGAGCTGGAATGTCTTTTATGACTCATCTTTGGAAGTCATACTCCATCATATCCACAATATCATATTATTACAGGTCAGGCCTATTCAGTGTGGGAGGGGACTATCTAGGGGTATGCATACCAGGAGGTGGGAGTTTTGAAGGGGTCATCTTGGAGTCTGGTTACCATGGTATTGAAGATGAATGGAGTTGTCCAGATGGATGAGGGAGAAGAAAGGCCTTCCAGGCAGAGGAAATAACATGCAAAGGCACAGAAATGTAAATAGCAGGGCTTAGCATTTTCAGGACATTGTAACTGGTTTGGAGAAAATAGGGAGAGAGGAGAGCTTACTGAAGAAATCAGAGAGTGCCTTCTATACCAAGTGAAGGAGTTAGGCCTTTATCATGTAGGCCAGTGGTTTTCAAGTGTTTCTGCAGATTGGAATCACGTGAGGAGATTTTAACACTTCCAATGCCAAAGCTACACCCGTATCTGTCAAATAGGACTCTCTAGCAGTGGACCTGGACATCAGTGGTTTGAAAAGTTTCTCAGGTGATTCCAGTATGGAGCCAAGGTTGAGCGCCCGTGCTGCAGGCAACATGAAGTAAGTGAAAAGCTCAGAGTCATGTCATCAGATTTCTATGTCTGTGATGGGAAGTGCAGTTTGCCTTCTCTACAAATTAAATATTAGAACTAGAAAGGCTCCATCATCTGTACTCACCCCCTCACTCAAGTATTAGATATTTTGTCATCTCTACTACCAAAAATTAAGCAGAAATAGCTAATCGTGAGCGGCCCCAAGTAAGTTCCCAGCATCCTAAATTGCCTGTTATTTATAAACTTCCAAAGCTAATGTTGATGCCAACATTCTTATATTAGCATAATTGTTCTTGAGGGTTTTTTTTTCCCACTTAACACTGTTTCGTATATCCATTTCTCTATTTCTGCGTGGTCCTCACATCCACCAGTCTGAGGAAGTAGGGTATAAAGGTTAGGGGCATGGCCTTCCTTCTGAGTCAGATGGACCTCTGGATTTGAGTCCTGATGTCCTCACTTATTAACTTGTTGGGTGACTTAAC